TGTTCCTCTTAAAATTAAACTTGGAATAGAGTCTTCACTGCGGTGGAGCTCCGGCCGGTTGGAAATACAGGCAGGCGGCGGAGGTACTGACTACTGAACGTCGCTACAACCCCACGGCCCCACCCACGCCTTCAAAAAAATTAACCAATTTGTGTTCTATAAAAAAAATCATAGAGATTATATGCTTAATATAATTTAACTAATTTGTGTTTAATCCGAATTAAAGGATAGAAATAAATGTTGGACAAATATTTAATGGTTAAATTGCACTCCGTATCAAATTTAATTACGGAGTATAAAAAATTAAAGCTGAACACATATTTAACATAGAGGTAGTATTAACTTTTGAACAAGGATTTTGTTAATCAAATTTAAAGATTAGAAACCCGATATAACTCTCTAAATAATGAGTCAAATATGACCGAATTCGAACTCGGTCTGACCAACTTTGAAATATAATGTACTCCGTACTAGTAATAGAATACTCTGTTACGGTTATACTCCCTCTCCTTCTAATTACATTGAAGATATTTTTAAAGTCATGCACTTTTGTGTGAAAGTATAATTTATGTAATAATAACATAATATTAAACTCCTCCGTACCTAAATATATGTATTCGATTGACTTTTACATAATATAAAAAAGTGAAACTGCATGATGAATATTTTTGTAAGTGACAGATTAAAGATTTTAGTTATTCGTCTATTCTCTTAAAATGTGATTTGTCATTCTTTTGGATAACAAAGAAAGAGAAGAGGGTGGCCGGCCACGAAACAACTCCTTCATCACTCTTTTTTCATAATAACTTCACAAAATAGTTAGAGCAATTTTAGTGGGCATTACTTAGATGGGTTCATAGCTAATGAATGATTGTTTTCTTAAACAACTCCTTTGATAAATTAAGTAATTGTTGAAATATTGGAATAATAATACTGCTCTTGAATTATGAAGTACATGATAGAGTATATATAGAAGAGATTCCTAACACAACTAGAAATACAGAATGAAAACTAACTAACATACAACATCTACCACAAATAGGAATAGGAAGTTGACTAATAATGAAACACTACCAGTGTTATGAGTCTCTCTTATATATACTTTATCATGTACTCCATTATTCAAGGAGCAATATTATTATTCCAATATTTCAACATGGTATCGATTAGAGCCACCGCTCTTGGTGACCTAAAAAAAGTTATTTGCTCTCACCGCCGCCGCCGGTAATTCCGGCGATGGCGGCTCCACCCTATTCACCTCTATTTTCTTTTTTCTTCTTTATCCTCAAATCAATTTCTCCATTCAAATGAAAAAAAACTCTGTTGAAATCACATAAAAAAACTATCAAAGGAGGAACTTCTTTCTTGTCATCTCCATGGTTCTTCAAAAAAAAACCCAACTCCTCACAAACTCTCTAAGATCATCATATCTTCTCAAAAAAAAGAAAAAAAAAATGATTGTTGTTTATCTCCAATTCACCATATCAAAATCTCAGACCCAATTTTTTTTATTCCAACTCCAATTCTTAACCTACTTTTCTTTCTCTAAAATCACTCATTCTAATTATCAACCTTCCTTCTCTTTCTCTTTTGTTAAACCAATAAAAATCCAAAATAAATCAGTACAAAAGCAAAGCCACGAAGGGAAGTAGTGAAAGAGGAAATAAGACCTCTATAACTCAGTCATTCAAGAAGAAAATAGGGCATTGCCCGGATCCAAGAAAAAGAAAAAATGTCAAGAATCTTCAGTCAAACAAGCACCTCCAGTAGCTTTCTCTATTCTTCTTCGACGTTAGCAGCTACAAGCGCACGTCAACGTTCTCTCTTCTTCATCGACGTCAGCAGCTACTAGCGCACGTCAATTTCTCTCTTCTCCAACGACGTGAGCAGCCACCGGCGCATGTCAGACTTTTCTCTTCTCAAAATTTCCAGTTTCCAGCTAGTGTCCAAACTTCCTCTTGCTTCAGCCAGAGTTCAGCTTGAGGGAAGATGTTAGACAATAATACTAATACTACTTCTGGTAGTATTGGTTATGGTAGTGTTTGATTATTAATCGGTTTCCTATTCTTATTTGTGGTAGATGTTGTATGTTAGTTAGTTTCCATTCTCTATTCATAGTTGTGTTAGGAGTCTCTTCTATATATAATCTATCATGTACTTCATAATTCAAGGAGCAATATTACTATTCCAATATTTCGGCATGGTATCAGAGCCACCGCTCTTGGTGACCTAAAAGAGTTCTTTGCTCCCACCGCCGCCGCCGGTAATTCCGGCGACGGCGGCTCCACCCTATTCACCTCTATTTTCTTTTCCTTCTTTTATCGTCAAAGCAACGTCTCCATTCAAACGAAAAAAAGGAAAACAACCTTGTTGAAATCATACAAAAAAACCACCAAAGGCAGAACTTCTCTCTTGTCATCTCCATGGTTTTTCAAAAAAAACTCAACTCCTCACAAACTCTCTCAACTAATCCTTTCTTCTCAAAAAAGGCAAAAAAATGATAGTTTCTCTCTAATTCACCATATCAAAATCTCAAACCCCAAATCTTTTTTCCTTCACCAATTCTTAATCCACTTTTTTTTCTCTCAAATCACTCATTCTAATCATTAATCTTTCTTCTCTTTTTCTTTTGTTACCCAAAATATTCCAAAAAAAACAACACAATATCAAAGCCAAGAGAGGAGTAGTGAAAGAGGAAAGAATACCTCTACAACCCTTCAAGAAAGAAATAGGGCATTGCCCGGATCCAAAAAAAAAGACAAAGAATGTCAAGGATCTTCAGTCAAACAGGCACCTCCAATAGCCTTCTCTATTCTTCTTCGACGCCAGCAGCTACCAACCCACATCAATCTTCTTTCTTCTTCATCGACGTCAGCAGCTACCAATGCACGTCAATTTCTCTCTTCTCCAACAACGTTAGCAGCTACCAGTGCACGTCATACTTATCTCTTCTCCAACGACGTCAGCAGCCACCGGCGCACGTCAGACTTGTCTCTTCTCCAACGACGTCAGCAGCCACTGGCGCACGTCAGACTTGTCTCTTCTCCAACGACGTGAGCAGCCACCGGCGCATGTCAAACTTCTCTCTTCTCAAAGTTTCCAGTTTCCAGCTAGTGTTCAAGTTTTCTCTTGCTTCAGCCAGAGTTCAGCTTGAGGGGGGATGTTAGACAATAAAACTAATATTACTTCTGGTAGTATTGGTTATGGTAGTGTTTTGTTATTAGTCAGCTTCCAATCCTATTTGTAGTAGATGTTGTATGTTAGTTAGTTTTCATTCTCTATTCCTAGTTGTGTTAGGAATCTCTTCTATATATACTCTATCATGTATTCCATAATTAAAGGACCAATATTACTATTCCAATATTTCAACAGTAATACATGCTTCACTTTTACTCCACTTATACAATTATACTGCACATCTTTTAAAAACTGAGTAATATCTTTTCATTAAAGACGCTCTTAGAGTGTTAAAGGAATTATGCATTTCTTCTCAAGTGCAACATGTGTTTCATTTTCACATGTCGGTAATCCCACATCTTTCTCCAAAATTGTCTCCGATTATACAGCAAGAATAATACAATCAGATGTACTGTACAACTTGCCCAAGAAGTGGTAACGTCGGTGTGGAGCACGGGGCACACCTACAGGGCGTGACGTGACAAGGGTCTGAGACACTAGTCAAGACACCATAGCTCATCAAAGTAATAGGATAGTATTCTCTTCGTCCTAAATTGTTTGTGCTAGTTTGACTTTTATGTTAATTTTAATAATAAATTGTGAAAAAGATATTTAATTATAATATAAATTTGATATAATTAGATTCGTTGTATTAGGGGTGAGCAAGTACCGAA